TGTTGTATTAGCGATTTATCCCTTGCTGAGACCTTGTATAAGCAGATATAATCACTGTGGACAATCCTTATCAGATAGCTGAACTTACCAAACACCTTTTGGTACAAATTGCTTTATTGCTTGCAGCAGGTTACAGCAGACAATAGGATACAGCAGATGAATGAGCAGAACAGTATTTGAAGGTCAGAGATAGTAATGTTTCCAAGCATGCAATGCAGATTAACATGTGGTCATGTTACTGTCAGACATTTTGATGCCGGAAGACTACTTGGAGAAGGGGGAAATACATAATAGATGGGAGGGAACACAGAAAATATGGTGCAATAACAGGCCTCCATGCCACTTCAATGATGGCCAAGCCTGCACGGCATCAGAGGGACCACCAAACTTTTCTCGTGGACCACTGGTTGGCGACCGCTGATCCATATAACCAACTATAATACGTGGCTTAAGGAAAATTAAATATGTAATTCTCATTTCACATTATTACAAACATTTAAAAAATTCCCCCCTTGTTCATTCCTTACAAATCGCCTTCCAAATAAACATAAAAAAGATAACTGACACAACCAAAAACATGTCCACAGAAACAAATCTGTAATGAAATTGACAGTTACAGTCACAATTATGTATTGACAGTCAGAAATATATTCACATATTGCACTCAACCAGAAACAAGTCCATACAGACAAATCAGAAAACTTTTTTTACTTTTGCTTTCTCAATGCAAGGCAATGCATATGTTTTCTATTGCATACATTTCAATGCGCTGAGCTTGTGTTTTAGGGTGCCATTAAAATAAATGGCTGTACACCCACAACGCTTATATCACATGTTGGGGCAATGTGCATTAATGCACATTTAATGCTCTTTACACCGTAAGGTGTTAAAACACAGGTTACAGCAACGAAAGGTAAAGTACTTTATATGTACATTGCAATTCATTCTTTGTTGCACCATAACACACATATACAGTCCACAACAGCACACCACAACCCACAGATTTATAATTTTAATTGCGGAGCACTGTTAAAAATAGTGAAGGGCTTTTTTGTGTATTATGGTGGATGAGGAGCAGGAGCAAGCAGGCAGCCTGTTTTTACCATTACTCTGCCACCAGCTGCCTGTACAGTAAACTCAGTTTGTTTGTCCTATGCCTCAGTAGCTCACCATTGCATGCCAGGGGTGGGAGAGCTTTGCAGGAAAAACTTAGGCTGGGCAGTGGGCATCATTAGCAGCTCCATCACACTAATAATTATTTCAAAGGCAGGAGTCTAAAAAGAAATATATAGGGGCAAAGGGGTTACCAGCCTGGGTTGCAGCACCCCCTAAATGGTGGTCCATGGTGTGGACTACCCTCCCCAAATACGTCACTGGTACCCAATTCCATGAGGACATCCATAGTCCCATGTACTCATATATAACACTGGTTATGTAGTGTAAGGTATACTGTCGTGAGAAGTGCAGAAAACCATACAGTTGTCTTGTTTGTAGTCACACATCGTGTTCCAGTGTCTCCGAATCATAGTACACAGAGCTGGATCATAAAGTAGCCTAGTCAGGATCCTAGTGTCCAATGGATGTCCAGGGGGCCCAGCTACAACCTTCATGCTCCTGTAGTAAACCAGAAGGATAATGCAATTGGACCTGCCTGTCATTTGACAAGGGAGGATGGACTTGTAGGAAGTTGTTGTATGATGGGGCAAAATATACAGATGCAAATGGCCTAACTTCTCTGTGCCTAATGTTCTCCCTATTAATGTCAATTAAGGGACGGGGCAGGGAAGAGTGCAAAGCTCGTACCTTGCCTAGGGCCCCAGGCTGCCTTAATCTATCTCTAAAAGCACACGTATAGCAGTGTTTATATGACCTGAGAGTGCAAACACTCAATTTAGGTGTATATGCAGGATACATATGTGCACAAATCTTATTCAAATTTTCCAGGTGAAATGCCAATTTATGTAATAAGGGTGACTTATGGTGCTGTTTGCCTGTTAAAAGTATATGCTCTGATATTTTCTGTCTTCAGATGACATACAGCCATACACTGTACAATGACCGAGGCAACATTTTTCAGCGAGGTGATTTCCTCACAAGATTTTCTGCAAAAATATGTTACAAGAGCCATAATGTGAATGACCATCTCTATTGTTGAAATTATAGCTTGCTTGTGATCCAACAGAATTATCTGCATGCTGACAGCGTAGAGTGATGGCTATAGTACCCATTGTGTCTCTTACTTAATCAGATTGTGTGCTTCTCATTTTAAATTTATTGTGTTGCAGAAAAGCAGAACAAGCTCTGGTTTCTCTACCACATAACAGACTTGTTATAATCACCACCCAATATCTTTACTTGTTAGAAGTTATTAGTGATTGATTGGGCGTAAGTATTTGCATCTAATCAGAATTTACTGACAGGTAATAAAAAACTGTGCTGCTTATCTGCATATGTCTTTGCAGTCTTCACCCTTGCGGCTACAGTTTCAATTATATAGATGGTTACCTGTATCTCAGTCTCAGTCTCAAAAAATACTAACAAAGGCTAGCTTATAAAAACCTGTGTATTGGCTTAATGAGCTCTCCCAGCCTGATCATGTATTATAACCAGTTATGAAAACCAGTCTCAAGCACCAAACTGTTTATTAAGTATATTCCTTATTAACAGTGGCGACTCTAGGAACAATATATAGGGGGGCACATAAGATACCACAGTCAAATCTGGGGGGGCACTAATAATTTTCATTGGATGTCTCAACCGCTGGGCGCCGAGAGCTGATTTAATTGCGGATGGCATCTGCGCACTGCGGTTGCGACATGTAGTCCATGCTACTGCACCCACCCACTGCCTGCTATCAATCAGGCAGTGGGCGGGTGCAATAGCCGATGCAATAGCCAGCCTGTTATTGCCTATTGCAATCTAAAAGAGCCAATAGCAGGCTGGCTATTGGGGTCAGCTGCTGGAATGAAGACGATCGCGCGGCTGTCAGCAGGAGAGGAGCGCAGACGCCACGGAGAGGTGAGTAGACTGCAGTAGACTCACAGACTGTCGGATGGTTCTCCTTACAGGCTGTAATTGACAATCTGTCCCCACCAGGGCCGTCTTTAAGGCAGGGCAAAAGGGGCACTTGCCCCGGGCCCAGTCATTGTTGTGGGGTCCTGTACCCCATAAACTAGCGCTAGTGAAACGTTTCTGGACCTGCCGTCTAGTCTGCATCACCCCTTTCTGATGCTAGAGGGCAGTAACCCCCTGTCCCTATGTGCAGCAAAGATCCCTGCAGCCCGGGATATCACCTCCCACTCAGCAGAGGAGGACGATAGCTATTGCACACACTGCTTTATGGTCCTGCCCTCCTCCCTCCATGGCTGTAGTCTCATCCTCCTCCTGTCCACGGTGAGTCCACATGGCTGCTGGGTTGGGCTTCTATCTGGGTGGGGGATGTCCCCCTGGTGTCATTATTAATAATATTATTATTATTATGTCCCCCTGGTGTCATTATTATTATTATGACCCCCTGGGGCCATTATTATTATTATGTCCCCCTGGTGTCATTATTATTATTATTATTATTATGTCCCCCTGGTGTCATTATTATGACACCAGGGATGGTATTAGGGATGGACACCTAATAATGACACAGGGGGGACATAATAATAATTACACTGGGGAGGACACATAATAATGACACCAGGGGACATAATAATGATAATGACACCGGGGGACATAACAATAATGACACCAGGGGGACATAATAATAATGGGGGGGGGGACACGACGACATAATAATGACACCAGGGGACATAATAATAATGATGGGGGGGACACAGCGACATAATAATGACACCAGGGGACATAATAATGACACAGGGGGACATAATAATAATGCCACGGGGGTGGACGACATAATAATAATGACACCAGGGGGACATAATAATAATAATGACACCAGGGGACATGCTCAGGTGTCATTATTATTGTTGCTATTCTATGCAGTGGAAGTGGTTGGTGGCAAATTATCCACACATTTACCATGAAAGTAGAATTATGGGGAGAGTGAAATGCGCTCTTCCCCCTAGTTACTGAAGCTGCCACAGGTTGGCTCTCTGTCAGCCATGGCTCCTCGCAGGAATACCCCCCTCCCCTCTCTGAACCTCCAACGCTGACTGGAGGGATGGATGGGGCAGACACAACCTCTTGAGAGGTAGAGTCAGCTGTCAATCAGGTGGTGGGGTGGATCTGGACAATATTTTTTGGATCCATCCCAGCTGCAGAGTGGCTCTGCTCTGTCAGCATATAGCGGGCAATATTGCATGGGGGGCGTGGTGGGGGGCCCGAGAAAATGTTTGCCTGGGGTCCAATCAATATTAAAGACAGCCCTGGTCCCCACTGACACAGATCACTGCAGTCGATTACAGCCTGTAGGGAGAAACCGCTGACAGTCTGTGAGGCTGCAGCAGGGAGAACCCCTGTCCCAGCAGATAACTATGTAATAACCGTCCCGGGCACAGTTATCTGCTGGGACAGGGATTCCATTTCTTTTGCCGTGCGCATGTCTTGTCTTGCCTTGCGTTAGCGCCGGGACTGCCACCACTGTTAGCGGGGGGCAAGTGATAGCCTAGGGGGGGCAATTGCCCCCCTGTAGCGACGCCACTGCTTATTAACCACAAACTATATAAAACCACTTGTTCAAATGCAATTGTAGAAAAAAATCTTCTAAACCTATCTTTTAATATGCTTGGCCTTATGCCTCAGTACAGTTTTCTTAAAATGAAGATTTTTTTTGTAAATCTGTTTCATATTTGAAGATCCTGCCAGTACAGAACTTTCTGTCTCTAAGCTCTCAATTAGCAGTAGTGTTGTCAGCCTAACGTGTGGTAAGTTAGTTGGCCATTGGACTGCCTATTGGGTTTTCTGTATAGGCAGCGCAATGGCCAAGTGAAGGAGCTCACACAGCAGGCTGACAACATTGCTGGTAATTGTGAGGCTGTGGCTCAGCATTGTTAGCCTTCAACAGGAAGTGCTGTTATTGGCAGGATCTCCAGGTTTGAAACTGTGCAACAGAGTAACAAAAAATTGTTTACGTTATAGCATGAGTCTCAAAGTACTGGCCCGCAGGCAGGGCCTCTGATAGAGGGGGTAGAGCCAGGCCTCCTGTACGGGCCTGTGTCCCATCAGGTCAGCAGGGGGGCGGGGACAGAGAGGGGGCTCTTAACTTTTTGCAGCAGCCAGGGGCATAGCTAGGGTTGCCACCTGTCTGGGATTCACCCAGACATTCCAGATTTTCAGTCCTCTATGTGCTGTCTCTGGGTTTCAGGCCAGCTCAACCTTTATGGGCTTTACTTCTCTTTTGGGTCACAAGAATACATTTACTGTGCCCTCCTGTGGCCCTAAGTCAGCATATAGCGGGCTATTACAGCTGGGAAGGATCCCAACAATATTGTCAGGATCCACCGCGCTGCCTAATTGACAGCTGGCTTTGCCTCTCTGGAGCCAAAGCCAGCTGTGCCCACCCCCTCCTATGTCTGCCCCTCCAATGAATCCTGGAGGAACATAAAAAGGATATTCTCTGCTTGGAGAAACCATGAGCTGAGTGGTCAGTGGCTACATGATCGCTCAGCTCTAGGTGTATAGAGCCAACATGTGACAGTTGCAGTTTCCCTTTAGTCCTGGGGTGGGCAACTCTGGCCCTCCAGCTGTTGTACTACAAGTCCCATGAGGCATTGTAAGACTGACAGTTACAAGCATGACCAGAGGCAGTTTGGGATTTGTAGTCGTAGTACAGCTGGAGGGCTGCAGTTGCTCACCCCAGCTTTAGTTTCTTATAGTATATTTTACTCTCCCAATACTTCTCCATTACAAAAACTGCAGACAATGAGGCATGATGCCAAACACACTAAAAAATAGAATTAGGGTTTACATACACTTCCCATTATAGGGGGAAATGTTATTGTTTAGTATGTGATGATTTGACTGTTGTACAAAATTAATTTTTACTGATATAGCCATATATTGGAGAGCAACTATTGGCCCTTTTTATTGTTAGTCAATCACACAAGGAGTAGGACTAGTAGTAAAGGTATAACTCCTGGTCTGCTTGCCTGTGCTAGGCCAGTAATTTAGAAGCATTGAAGCTGTTAAATTAACTTGACTGCCGGATAGCTAGCATTTGAGTAGAGAGGTTAGTAAGGCATCTCTCTGAGCACTTTTACTTTAGCTGACCTCCAGGAAAACAGCAAAATAAAAAAAGTGTTTGTATTTCTGTCCACCCAGTCTTGAGAGTTACACAACATAACCCTGTCTTATTATTTCTCTGTTGCAGTTCCGTAACACTTACAAGTCCCTTCTCTTCCATCAAGAACTGACCACAATATGCTCAGTGTATAGCCAGCTTTAGACATTAGTCATTATAACAGTGTGAGTACAAAAGAATGATTAGTGCAACCCATAAAGATACACACCTTGGAAATAAAAGAGACATTTATAAGTGTGTACTAAACACAGGGAGAGCTAATAAAGCGGAGATAATAAAATGTTTATTGAAGGAACAACTCATTATAAAAGATATATTGGTTAACCTTTACAAGCTTAAAACATGCACCTTCAATAAATTATTGTGTATAACAGTTCATCTTAAAATACTTTCCCTATAGAAGGCATGTTAGTAAATTCCACTTGTTGGCCTGAACTTTTATCATATTGTTAATCCTGTATGTTTTAAATGAATATATCAATGAGTGCACCTATATTAGCATTGGTAATGCTTGCTTAGGGATGAGGTTCAGGTTTACTACTAGCATAGGTTCAAGACAAATCCTGTGTGCTCTCGGATCGTTGACCCAGCGAAATAAAAGGGGAATTGCCATAGTAACCATGATGAACTGACTAGCATTTGAAGTTAGGTCCGCTAGGTCCACTATCACAGAAAGGCTAATATGGGGTCTTTTGGATAAGCCAGACCTCACTATAAAAGGGTGGCATCTCAGAAACCTTTATCTGTGATAGGGAAAGCATAGAAGGTGCTACTTATAGAGCGCAAAGGGAGAGATTAATGTTGGGCTTCTAGGCACTATTAAAGTGAATGTAAACTCTTAAAGAGGAACTTTACCCATAGCTTTGAAATGACAATAAAAACACATTTACTAATGTTTAGTAATGACTGTATATGACTTTATTTGACTGTAACTGATGTTCAATCCAGAGGATCGAAAAATAGCCATTTTCTGCACACTGTATAAGGCGGCTTGAAGCTGTATTAAAATAAAGTTTGCTCAGTTGAGATTCGAAAATGAAAGATAGAAGCTAATTGGTTGCCATGCACAGGTGTTCCAGATTTTGTCTGCTCCAGTTTTGATAAATTGATGTGAATATAAAGACATGAATTGCTCATCCTTAGAGATAAAATAGTTCAGAATAAACTATCCTGCTAGCCAATAAACCTGCTGGCCAATCTTGGTGGAACTCTAGAGAAACTGTAGATACATGTAACCTAGGGAAGAGGCTAATACAATACAAACTGCAGTGGTTAAATCATTTCCTACTGCTATGGAAACTGGGTTCCTTACCAATTGTTATGTCAGTTGGTAGATCTTAAAAGCCAGAAGGGCCTTCAGTAAAGCCATTTTTCAACCACAGCTCAAGGGTCTTAACTTGCCTTCACTGATCAGAATACACATCCTCTAGAGCAGTAGTTCTCAACCTCAGGACCCACATTTGTCCTTGGTCATTATGTCACGACCTAAGTCAGACTGCAATGGAACATATGGCGTTCTGGTGCGGGCGTACGTACTGTGTGTGGGAGGTGCATTTGGGGTAGCATTCGCATGAATGGCAAAGCAACACACCTCCCACACCAGAATGCATGGTAGATGCGATTGTGTGGTACAGTTTAACGCACCGTACTAGTGTGAACAGGCCCTCAAAAACACTGACATACACTATATTGTCAAAAGTATTGGGAAACACCTCCAAATCATTGGATTAATGTGTTCCAATCACCTCCATTGACACAGGTGTATAAAATCAAGCACCTAGGCATGCAGACTGCTTCTAGAAACATTTGTGAAAGAATGGGTCGCTCTCAGTAGCTCAGTGAACTGAAGCGTGGTACCGTGATAGGTTGCAACCCGTGCAATAAGTCCATCCGTGAAATTTCCTTGCTACTAAATATTCCATGGTCACCTGTTAGTGGTATTATAACAAAGTGGAAGCAACTGGGAACATCAGCAACTCAGCCACTTAAAATGACAGAGGGGTCAGCGCATGCTGAAGCGCACAGTGCACAGAAGTCACCAACTGTCTGCAGAGTCAATAGCTACAGACCTCCAAACTTTGTGTGGCCTTCAGATTGGCACAACAACAGTGCGTAGAGAGCTTCATGGTTTCCATGGCCGAGCAGCTGTATCACGAAGTGCAATGCAAAGCGTCAGATGCAGTGGTGTAAAGCATGCTGCCACTGGACTCTAGAGAAGTGAAGACGTGTTCTCTGGAGTGACGAATCACGCTTCCTGTTTGGCAATCCGATGGACGTGTCTGGGTTTGACGATTGCCAGGAGAACGGTACTTGCTTGACTGCATTGTGCCAAGTATAAAGTTTGGTGGAGGGGGGATTATGGTGTGAGGTTGTTTTTCAGGGGTTGGACTTGGCCCCTTAGTTCCAGTGAAGGGAACACTTAAGGCATCAGCATACCAAGACATTTTGGACAATTTCATGCTCCCAACTTTGTGGGAACAGTTTGGGAATGGCCCCTTCCTGTTCCAACATGACTGCGCACTAGTGCCCAAAGCAAGGTCCATAAAGACATGGATGAGCGAGTTTGGGGTGGAGGAACTTGACTGGCCTGCACACAGTCCTGACCACAACCTGATAGAACACCTTTGGGATGAATTAGAGTGGAGACTGCGAGCCAGGCCTTCTCGTCCAATATCAGTACCTGACCTCACAAATGTGCTTCTGGAAGAATGGTCAAACATTCCCATACACACACTCCTAAACCTTGTGGACACCTTCTCAGAAGAGTTGAAGCTGTTATAGTGGCAAAGGGTGGGCCAACTCAATATTGAACCCTACGGACTAAGACTGGGATGCCATTAAAGTTCATGTGCGTGTAAAGGCAGGCGTCCCAATACTTTTGGCAATGTAGTGTACATACACAGACACAATCTTGCATACTCACAGACACATTATCACACACACATACACACTCCAAAAATGTTTTTATTTTTTTAAGGTCCACCCAGTCTCCCTACCTTACGAGAACTGGAGTGGATCCTCAGTCTGGGTTCCAGTGTGGGCTGCTGAGCTGTGAGGACGCTCCATCCATATATCATTGCTTGTACAGCTCCCTTGCATGCCCTTAGAGGTGCCGGTAGCCAGAATGTGATGTCACTCCAGTCCAGGCACCTCTACAGGACACGTGAGGGAGATGTAAGCAATGGACGTATGGATGGATCTCCCTCGTGGCCATAGCCCCATCCCATCCCACCTCGAGCTGTCACTCGGCGCCGGGCAGCATATTTTGAATAGCTGCTTAGCGCAAAAATTGAAGGTGTTGCGCTAGGGGAGGCAGGGGAGTTTCTCACTTAGAAAAGTGGAAGGCATGCGGTGACCCACTTAACACGGGGTGGCGACCCAGTTTTGGGTCATAACCCACCATTTGAGAACCAAGGCTATAGAGTTTCCACAAACCGATAGTAAGGAGCTACATGCAGCCCTAATGGAAAAACATAGGGGTCTATTTAAAAATAAAAAGTAATTTGCCCTGCAAATCTCTGTGAGTGTTCGTTCTGCGTGAATGGATGCATAACATGAGTAAATTCTAAGGATTTTTATAAGTTCAACGTCATTTTTAAATGTCATCATGTAATACCACATTATGGCCACCAGATAGAGCTAAGGATCATAGGAAATAAATATTTCTTTCCTGAGCTTCTCAACTCCATTTAGTGACCATAATGTGGTATTTTACACATAGCACGTTTGTATGGGAAAGAAAATGTACAAAGAATGTTCGTTTGGGCTCCTTTCATACTGAACGAATGTTCATGGAGTTT